AGTTACATAATGTGCCATTTGTGTTGCATGCACTCATTTGTGCTTTGTTGAATATTACTGTACTTTATATTGTATGAATGTATATTTGTGTTCTGTGTAACTCTAGCATAACAATGTGAAGGCATTGCTCAGCTGTGAGGATAATGAAGGCTGCACCCCACTCCACTACGCTTGCAGACTGGGTATCCATGACTCAGTGAAGAACATGTTGGGCCTCTCGGGGCAGATCGGCCTCGCATGCAAGTCCAAGGACAAGAAGTCTGCACTGCACTTTGCTGCCCAGTGAGTTTGACTGGTCCCTGAGGGCATAACTTTCCATACCATCCAACTAAATAATACTGATATGACCTGATTTTCTCTCAAAGTTGCTCAAACTTTTCAAATTTGATCAAAGACGTGCCAGCAATGTAACTGCTGTTGACACTGACCAGTGTGTGATGCATTGTATATACTCTTTTTTATATTGTTTCTGTTGTGTTATTTTAAAACGACAACATTCATTTTGCAGTAAAGTTGCAAGATTCACATCCTAAACCACCCCACTCTATTACTGTTAAAACTCTGAAGCAGTTCATTTCTATACAACAGAATTTAAGTGATGTATATTGATCAATGATACCACAGGACTATAAAACATTAATCAAATATGGCTCTTAAAAGGACTTTGACTCACGATCGTCTGAAAGCCAGGCCTTTATATCTGTAATTGAACAACAGTGGTCAGATGAAAAATGAACAATGTGCCTACATTTAAAACTGTTACCTCACTGCTGTTTTAATCTGGTGAGCAATTTCTATACTCAAAAGGCACTTGATGATTAATTGTCACGACATACCCATTATACAGTGACCCGAAGCAATTGTCACAAGAATAGAATTCAATTAGCGAAGCACATATGAAGAAACGTTGCTAACAGTGTGAAATGAGTGGACATTCAACATTATTGTTATTGATTTTTCTATCATGTACCTTCTATTTCATTAGAGCTAGAGGGCAAATTAAGGCCATGCTATGATATCATACCTTAACTATAGTAGACACCTCATTCCCTTTCTCCACCGGTCCCACTGCACTATCACAAAGTGCTGCTGACCTTCTTAAAAGGTTCAGAGACAAGAAATATCATAGTGCAGGCCAGCGTGTCACTTCTGTTTATGTCTTCTTACAGTTTGTCGCACCATTAGTCATTAACATGCCCCAGCACTTTTTACCGATATTTTACATACAAGTTCAAGCCCTGCAATAGTCATCTTCAGTGTCTTTGAGCAAGATACTCAATTTCCAAGATGTACTGTGCTGTACCTGCCCCCAACCTCTGGCTTTACTGTGCTGTGGGCTTTGCTCAAAAAGCATTTCCATTTCCAAGATCAACAGATCATAACAGTGTGAAAAGTTCTTCCACAACCTAATGCTTCTACTTATCCCTCTCTCCTTTAAGGTATGGGCGCATCAATACATGTCACAGATTACTGGAGACCATCACAGACTCCCGTTTGCTAAATGAAGGTGATGAGCGAGGCCTGACACCCCTGCATTTGGCTTCAAAAGAGGGGCACACCAAGGTTGTGCAGCTGTTGCTGCGCAAAGGAGCTCTCTTTCACAGGTAGACTAATAGAAAACATGAACATGCATAAACATAAAAAGTACATATACATGCAAAAGCACAGCGTACCAGTGGTTCCCAACCCATTTCCTTAAGGGACCCCTTTACTATCATTGAGTACATTGAGTAAATGACAACCCGATATATTTTATGACATTATACTTATTAACTGATAACCTGTATAATTAACAAAAATAGTGATCATAATAACTGCAGGAAGTTTTTGTAAAACAGGCTATTTTGGTTAATTTTAACCAGATTATTTCCTGTGAATATTGCATGTTTTATAGAGTTCTTTGTCTGTATTATGTATTTTTTGAAATTCTAACAATTATACATACTTATTAGGCTTCTTTTTTTTACACATTCTGTTTTCTTATCATTGTTCTAGTAGCTCTTTGGTTGTTTAACTGTGTACTTTTCTAACTTAGGAGGCTATTTGGCAGAGAGTGAAAGCTTTGTGGCTATAGCTTATGTTCAGGTCTTCAAAGTTAAGATTTTAAATAATACACTTTAAAAATAAGAGTTTCATTTAGTTTTTCCCCTTAAAATCAAGAAGGCCAAGAGACCCCTGTGATGCTTTGGTGACCCCTAGTGGGGGTTCTGATCCCCAGGTTGGGAACCACTGTACTATACTATCATTTATGTACTGTAATGCTGTGGTTGCAATATGCAGTATGCAATGTTTACACTTACCGTCATACATCACCAGTTCCCATTAGTTGAGCATATCTTTCTTACAGTGATTATAAGGGCTGGACTTGTCTGCACCATGCTGCATCGGCAGGGTACACACAAACTATGGACATTCTCCTGTCTGCCAATCCCAAGTTAATGGACAAAACAGATGAGGATGGGGTACGATTTACTGTTATTTCAAAAAGTTCAACATCATCCAACTCTGTAATTAATTTATCAAACTCTTTGTGATGCCAGGTTTAAGACCATGGGCACATTTTTGCAATTCATGAACAGTTATGTAAAAATGTCGCTGCCCTAATAAGTAGGAGTAGCATTGAATAATACAGACAGTTCTATAATGAATAAATAATAAATAATTGGTACTGTCTCCTGTTATGCACTGATATACCAGAACACTGCGCTTCACATCGCAGCGAGAGAGGGACATGTGGCTGCAGTCAAGCTCATGCTGACTCGGGGAGCAGAGCTCATCTTAAACAAGAATGACACGTCGTTCCTTCATGAAGCTCTGCAGAATGGGAGGAAAGATGTGGTCAACGCCGTAATTGACAGTGACAAGTATGTTATTAATTAATTAAAGTGTCTTTTCTGTAGAGAAATAGCTCAGCTTAAAACAGCTTCTGCACTGCAGGTGTTTTGTGTACTCTGTTTGTGAACCATGTATTTATCTAGCATTTCAGTGTTGGCCTGTGAAAACCATGTATCTCCAAAACATTAGCTTTTAGTTTGAAAAACAAACCTTTTTCAGCTTTGTGAAAATCAATTTTAAGATGATTTGATGGGGTTTAAATTTAGATTGTTTATCTATCATATGAAGTAGGAGAGTAAGTTGTATGTGACCGTGCCATTATTCAAATTCTTGCATCAATTTCTTCTAGGAAAAAGACCACTGGGTCACTCCTAGAATCAATTCTACAGATATTGTAGTGGCATTGTGATTCATTTGTGTTTTTTTTCTTCCAGATGTGCTGAGGCTTTGAGACTGTTCAACGTTGGCTCCATCCAGCGATGTCCTATACTAGAAATGATTGAGTTTCTTCCTGAGACCTACAAGGTTGCCACTGACAAAGAAAAAAACATGCGTATCAAACAGTACATCTGTGTGCACATTAGTCTTCATAAGTTGTCTCTTTCTGCAGTTTGATGTCGTATACACTGTTCTAACTGAGCATTGCTCTAAAGCCCTTAGATCCTTTGTCACTGTGTTTTTCTGCTTTCTTTATTAGCACCTACTGGACCGCTGTGTGAGAGAATCGGATGAGGATCACAACAGTTGTGACTACCATGTAATTCAGTTACAAGTTGCACAAAAGAAAAATAATCTATATTGTACAAAACAATATCAAGTTAAACAATTATTTTTGTTGTGTAGATTGAATACAATTTCACATGGCTCCAAGCTCCCATTGCAACAAAGAAGTTAACTGACAAGACCATGAGGGTTCAGCCGCTAGCTGCACTCAACGTAAGCAACTTTTTAATTTAAATAAAATATAGCTTTGGTGCAGCAGAATGCAAATACTCCCCCTTGAAGTAGCAAGGTTGTATTGCAGTCCAACCATTCACCTTTGTGTATCCATTGGCTCACATTTTGCACATATAGTCTCCTCTGATCATGATTAGCCAACTCATCCACAGTGGTGACACTTTTCCCCATCCACGTTTCTGCAGTTATGAAAACAACAAAGCCAAAATTAGTGGCTTTTTCACAAATATTTTACTTTTCCTGGCTCTCCCATGTCCTGCCCCTGTGTTACACATGTAACAGTTGATGAAAAAGACACTTTGTCATTGCTTTGTCAAAGTAAATTTCTTATGTCAGTGTGTCCACTAATTTGTCCACTAATCTTCTGGATGGCTTAAGTTATAGAAGAGCATATAAGGGAGTTTTTGTTGGAAACCAAACTTGCTGCCTAGTTTGGAGGGAAACAAAAAAGACTAGGATGTTTTGAGTCAGCTTGAAGAAGAGCAAGGTCCAATGCTCGGTGCAGCCAGTCTTCCTCTACCCCAACAAGGGGCCAGGTGGTGCTGCTGCCCTCCTGTTAACGCTACCATGTGTTGGGTGTACATGCTTATGGACAGGCTGATAAATGTGTTTGTCTCCCATTGCTGTTAGTGATCAGCACTATTTTTTTTATTATGCACTGCTGTTGACTGTCAGCTGTGGATGTATCGGGGGACAGCAGGGCTAATTGTTTTCAGTTGGAAAGTGGCAGCTGAAGAGGCAAAGGCCATGAGCCTACCAAAAGTTTCAAAAATTCAATCTTCATGCAAATGTTCACAAATGGGCTTTGGTGAGTGGCCAACTCTGCAGAGCCCTGTTAAATGATCTCATCTACCACCAAATGTTAGAAACACTTCATAGCATGGGTATACCTACTGAAGTGATCCTGCATTATGCCTGTGGAGATCAATAGGATGCATATACTTAAAATCCTTCAGGCTTTAGCCGGCAGGCTGTTCTTTTCTGTTTGCACCAAATGTGGCATTAACGGTAGGCTATTTTTCTGTTACTCTTTATGCAGGCGATGGTGAAGTATAACCGCATTGAACTTCTCAACCACCCTGTCTGCAAAAAGTACCTAGCGATGAAGTGGTGTGTATTCGTGATTCAACCTCCAACATTTCTCATTCTGATACGTTGCGACTGATCAGATTGCAAAAAAGATGATTTGTCCTGCTGAATGCACCAAAAACCAGTGCATTATTTACTTCTTCTAATGTTGAGACTGTTTTGTTTTCTTCTTTGTTTTCATCCTCAGGATTGCTTATGGGAGCACGGCTCATTTGCTCAACATGTTTTTTTACCTGTTAGGCCTGCTACCCCTGACTCACCTGATAGTGACTCTGAGGCCCACCTTTAACACCACTACCGTGGGCAAACACACTATCACCATGGTGCCCATATCTTTCATAGAGGTACAGTGATCAGTATTAAGGATGGCTTTGGCTCAGGAGGTAGAGCGGGGTCGTCCACTAATCAGAAGGTTGACGTTCAATCCGTGGCTCCTCCTGTCCTTGAGCAAGATACTGAACCCCAAATTGGTGTATTGGTGTATGAATTACTTTCTGTTTGTAATGGCCTTTGCCATCACTGTATGAATGGGTGAATGTACAATGCTTTGAGTGGTTAGACTAGAAAGGTACTACTTAAGTACAGTCAATTTAAAGAAGCTCTCTGTTAACATGTGGAATTTATGTTTAATTTCAAGGTCCAGTGTGTAGCATTTAAGAGGCTGTATTGGCAGAAATGGAATATAATATTCATAGGTATGTTTTAATTAGTGTATAAACACATGAATATAGAAATCGTTATGTTTTTCTTACTTAAGAGTGAACCGTTTTTGGAGTCCGCCATGTTGAACCGCTATGTTTCTAGAGTAGCCCAGAAGGAACAAAACAAACACTGGATTGGACATTACTCAACATTTGTCATTATGATCCAATGATAAAGTAATTCTCAATATTCCTTCTTTTCACAGCAAAGTACGTTCCTGTCCGTCTGCATGGTGATGGTCTTGGTCATGAACATCTATGCCATAGCAAAAGAGGTGGTGCAGATGTCGCAACAGGTACTGTTACGCAAGTGTCATTACCTCACATGTGCTCATAAATCTGTTCAGCACAAGGTCTGTGTGGACACAAGGGCAATCAGGTGTGATGGATGAGCGCCCTCTGATTTAGATGTGCAAGATCACTGAACGACCACAGTCAGAATGTCCCCTTCACACTTAGCCTGAGAGATTTTGATTATAACTATAAGAAACGCTCCCACATCACATCACATGTTCAGTAGTTAAAGTGTTGTTGTGCATGACAGTGTAATAGAAGCACTACACTCACATATTGCTCATACTGTATCTGCAAGGTTGTTTGTTTGTCTAACTACTTTGTATTTTTGCTGCTTTTCTTGTCACTTAAAAGCGTTGGAATTACTTCAAGGACTTTTCCAACCAGTCTGACTGGTTTACAGCCATCCTCTCTCTTTTGTTCATCATTCCCATCATGCTCAATGTAAGGGGTTCTTTACACTGGCAAGCAGGGGCACTGGCAGTTTTAAACTCCTGGGTTGGATTTCTCTTTTATATCCAGAGGTACTGTTCACGCTGACTTAATTCCCTTTCAACATAATGTCTTCTCTATGGTTTAGAGGCCACTAACTGGTATAATCTCCTGTTTCTCCAGGTTTGAGCGCGTTGGCATCTATGTTGTGATGTTCTGGGAGATCATGAAGACACTGGTCCGCATTGTAATGCTCTTCTTGTACCTGATGTTAGCATTTGGTTTGGCGTTCCATGCTTTGATGCTGAACCAGGTAGGAGAAGAAAGAAATAATCAAAATTCAGTAAGACTAAATGTTTCAAGTCCCTTGAGTGGGCCCAATAGGCAGAAAGAATAACATACAGATGATTTCTCGCTTATCCCTGTTGGAGCCAAGAATATAGTTTATACTGTGCATGGATGGAATGCCATTTGGTCATTTATACCAAATACGCATGCTCTTAGGAACATGAATGCACTTTCATGGCAAACCATTCAAGCTATTTCTGAATTAGTGTAACAAAGCTTGCCTACCAGCAGCTCACTAATTAACATGTTATATCTTGTTTGTTTAATCTGTTCCAAAACCAAAGTAACACATTGTGGTTTTATTGGGGCAAAGCCAGGCAAGCTGTTTCAAGGATTCTAGGTTATTTTATTGTCCTTTACAACACAGGGTTGTAGAATTACATTTAGATATAGTTCCCTTTATGCTACTTTTAAAAATTGATTAACACTTTAAAAAATAATTTTAAAAAAAGTAAGTTTTTACTTAGCAGTCTCTTCTGAGGGAAGAAGCTGTCTTTAAGTCTGCTGCTGATACCTGCTCTTTTCAGTCTTTGGTATTTTACTGTGTAAGATCACTTCTTCAAGACTCATTCTGTTCACTGACTTGACTGAAATCACTGACATTAAAAATGTTGCACGGAAAAGAGACGGGTTATAGAAAAATATTTTAAGCTTAGGACAATTTGGATTATTTAGCCAGTGCATATTTTATCATAATTGTTTGAAAGAAGTGACACAGTATCTAACTCTGATAGATAAAATTCGTATTCTTTTTTACTCTTAGAAAGAGTTTGACAGCGTGCCACTCTCAGTGATACAAACCTTTGTGATGATGGTCGGGGAACTGAACTACCAAAATAACTTCCTGGACGCTTATCTGAAGAATGAGCTCCCTTTTGGTTTCTTGACTTATTTAATTTTTGTGAATTTTGTCCTGCTCATGCCAATCCTGCTGGTGAACCTGATGGTACGTATGCACATAGTGCCCATCAACTCCCTATAGGCATCTACTGTACTTCTCACTTTTGTACTAGTTCATATTTTGAAATGGCTGAAAAGATGAGGTGGTTCTTATTTGTTTTTGGGTGTGTTGTAGATTGGTTTAGCAGTTGGAGACATTGCTGAAGTACAAAGAAATGCCGCCCTAAAAAGAATAGCCATGCAGGTATGTATTTCATTTTCAAAGCAAAGAAGTCATTCCATCTTTTATCCTGCTTGCTCTGTGCTTGCCCGGTCTACCATGATGGACAAACACAAGCACAGTAGATGATGCTGTGGTGTTTTGTTCTTGAGGCCTTTTTGCAAGTAGATTTGGAACATAGACATGTAAAATGTTCTACTTCTCCAAAAATATTATTGGCAGGAGACTGTACTGTGAGACATCTAAGTGACAAACCCATAGCTTTTTAACTATTTAGATTTCACTACAAAAAAAAAATTACTAATGTGACAGATGTACTTAAGAATATGAGTGATGATATTTGTTTAACTTTAAAGAATGTACAACCTTAAGGTCAAACAGAGAATAAAATACTTGCACCTTTAACTTAAACTCTGAATTTCTGACCCCAGATTGAACTCCACACCGCTCTCGAAGACAAGCTGCCTTACTGGTTTGTGAAACGAGTCGACAAAAGCTCCATCACCGTCTACCCCAATCGCAAATGCTCCAAGGTATCTTTAATATTTAAAAAATACTGTACAACATATTGATTCATCTTTGTTACTAATGTCAGTTCCCTTTCTTAATCCTTACTACTTTTCTTCAGCACTTCATAAGGCAACTATTCACAGGTGATGATGAGACAGATGAAGTCTGGAGTCGTCTGCAGGCTAAATCACAGAGGTGCCCTGCAATAGAGAATGAGCTCACAAAGCAGAAGTACAGGTAAAAAGAGGGGTACACATGATAATCACATGAGAGTCAGTTTTCTATCCCCTGGAATAATAAAACTATGTTCCAAGTAGGATTACTACTGAGATGCTGGAGAGCAAATAGTCTATTGAGCAATTTTATAGTAGTTTTTGGTGCATGAGCAGCCCCCAGTGGTGACAAAGAAATAAAGACAGAAAGATGTGACTCACTGTATTTCTTTCTATATTAAGTACATGGAACCACTCAGCAGTATCAAGCCTGAATTACGCATAAATGAAGTCTATCACCGAACCACACAAAGTCATGTTTTTTCCTCTTCAGGATGAAGGAGATGTCGAGCACGCTGGAGAAGCAGCACAACCTCTTGAAGCTCATCATCCAGAAGATGGAGATCACCTCGGAGGCCGACGAGTACGATGGCCCTGTGAACGTCAGAGGAAGCATGTGGCCAAGATTGAGTCAGGCTAAACCAAAAGTACACAATGTGTCTCGGTGGGTCCCCCTGATGAAGGCCATCGAGTCCAAGAGAAAATGAAAAGCATGAGACAAATAAAACATCTAGAAACAGCTATACAGTTTTACAAAGTGAATTATCACTACCATACCTAATTATACGACTACTGCACAATGTAATTCCTTTTATATATATATATATATATATAAGATTTAGCACTTGCATCCACTATATGCATACCGTTGATTGTATTAGTTGATTTAATCATTTTAGACTGAAACAGTAATTTCTTGTCCAGTACAGCGCTATTAAGTTACACTAGTGACACACTGATAATGATGAACGTTAATCTGTGGTGTGTATGCAGCATTGTCATACTTCCATAATGTGCACAGTAGCTGTTTATATAATGCTGTAATGTGTCTTTTCGTGAATATGTTTTCTCTCAAATATCATGTTTTACCTCTCCTTTTATGTCACCCCATAATTAAACATGTCTACGGTCATAAAAGATAAAGGAATATCAGCCAGTTTTCATTACATTTATATTTGTTGGTTGAGAGAATTTAAAGTTGCAATAGGAGCTGGGAGGACACCTCCCATGTGTGGACAAATTACAGTGGCATGTCAGGTCCAATAAGGCCTAAAATGAACAACTCAAGGCAAAATTATGTAACCTTAAAATCCATTAAGCACTATTTTCTCAGTGCATACAAAATCTATACGAATGCATCGATAGATACGTCCCAATGTTACATTAGACTGTATATGGTTTGAGTTGTTTGCCTTGCAGCAACTTTCTTTGCAGCTCAAAAATTGTACAATACAGTAATATATGCTTTATGAGTGACGTAAATTTTGTTGCGGACATCAATGTCTGAAAATCTGATAATATAAATCACATGAAGTGATTTTCTTTGTAATATTGTTTGAAATTGTCTAGATCTGGTTCATATTAATGTGTGGTGTCTTGTAAGCTAATGTAGGTCTCTAATGTATGACACAATGATAGAAAAACTTCTAAAACTTCACAGCGGCTGATGGATTATTGCTTCTGATTTGTGCACTTCCATCAGATCTGTGCACTCTAGCTGCTTCAGTGGTGATCCTGGGAATCAAAGGAGGTTGGGAGAGAAACAGAGAGAGCCTGCACCTGTCCCTCTGCTTCTCCAGCATAGGGCCCTGATAGAGGTCACCACCCCTGAAAGTCTTTGCTGATAGACAAATGCTAGCTCTCCCTTCAAGTCAAGTTTTAAGTGATATTTATTACTGTTGGCCCTGAATTGAATTATTCCCAGGGCAAATGCAATAACCATGTAACCATCAATTACACTGATGTTTTGGATAATATTTTCTGCTCTTACTTGAGGAGCTACATCTACAGAATGACTAATGAGCAACCTTGTTTTATCTCAACCTGCTTCTTGTTGACAGCGAATAAGGCAGCAGGTTGAAATATGTGTCAGATAGCCAATACCTTTCTGTGTTACGTGAAAAAAGATGACAGCTTATAAAATAAGGAGTAAATCAAACAGTAGAATCCCTTAGCTTGCACCTTCAAGTGTGTCAGTCAGGCCGTCCACATTGCTGACGGATGCAGTGACAGGGGATGAGATGGCTGCCTGCCTGTAGCTCTGTCTTACCAGGACAAGTGGAACTAAATATCTCAACCTCATGACACATCCAAGGATAAGCCAAGATCCCTCCAAGGTCCAACTGATGTCAGGTCTTCTTGTGAAAACTGCATGGAGGACCGGGATTGTGGGAAGCATGGGAATGTGTCCTTGGATTAGGAAGCATTCTTGGTCTGTGAAAGAGGGAAATTTGAGCAGTGGAAAACCACAGAGCACTTCAAAATCACAGTGACTTGCATTTTGACACTGAGAAACTGAAATGGAATATCATAAACAAGTATAACACATTTTGAAAGACTGAATATATTAGTAGTTTAATAAAGTGAGATTTGAGCCAGGATGTTGGGATAAATTACGCACCATCGTGGGAACTGTTGGAGTACAGTACAGCATTCATCCTAGTGCAGAGTACAGTCATTCCCCTTTCGTGACCCTGGCATGGCCAGCTACCAAAATCAAGCATGCATCTCAGCTGCAGTTAGGTAATTCTTGGCAGAGTCTTACTATTGTCATAAAAAAAATCTAGATTTCACACATATTATGTGGAGTAATAGCTATCAGGGACCTGGGATTTTCTTGGAATATCTTGAGTAAGTAAAGCCGGGTTCCTGTAAGTGCTGTATGGACACAGAACACAGAAAGTTTTTCCTTGACTTGCATTTCTGAATGTAGTGTGAAATGTGCTCTGTATTTTACATTGTGATGTTTGCAAATCACAAAGAGTACAACAGATATTCTGTCTGAAGGGTAGAGTTTAGTATAAAACAAATATAGAAACTTTCCAGACAGTATGGTATCTCTGCAAACACATTTTGCGATCCTGTAGCTTCAGAGGCCCGGAGCAATCTTAGTCTCATCTTCTCTTCCCCACTTTTGTTAGCTCTTGTTCTCAATCCACACTAAAATGTACTACCCTGTCTGATCTCTATCGGCCGCTACTCTCAGAAAAGTTTGGAGGACACAAAATGCAAAAATGGCCAAGATGCCCAGTGAAAAATGTTTGTGACACCATGGGAATGAAGATGGTGCCTCCTCGCCTCTGCCACACCCTTGTCATGCCAACGCTCCAGATGTCATGGGAACCGATAACAGCTGGGGCTGGTGCACGCAGGCTGCGTGTGAAAGGCTGCTCCATCTGCAGAAACCCAATCCCTCTGTGAAACCAGCAAAGGATTATGCACTTTTGATAAGGTCCTCAAGACATTTCTATTACCAAAACACATCTGTGGAACCGACAAACTTAGGAAATTGTTTACTACATATGTGCATTTCCAAATGTTGCAATTAATTGTGTGTATTATTATTACACAATATACTGGTATGGTGAAAAATTAGCCCTCAGACATCCTTATAGTCACATTGCAATTTCATCACACCTCCCACTAGATTTACCAATAATAAGCCAATCATTTACAGGGATTAATGTAATCATCAAGTTGCAGATGAGCAAATTAAGTCTTTAACAGTACACACAAGGAGACAGAGTTATGGTCTCACTGAGGTCATGGTGGCTTGGAGAAAAGGGGGAGGAGAAATGTTCAGAAAAAATCTCTGTACAAACGCCAAGTCCTGGCACTTAAATTAGAGGAGTAGCTAAGCAAGGAGGCATGTTTCGGTTTTAGAGAGAGCTGCAATTTCCAGACCTGACCTCACGCAGTTGCTACTGTAACACTGTGATGACTTGGTGACATTTGCAGGGTTACCAAATGGGAATTTAAAAGTAGTGTTAGTCTGCTGTCTTCCAACCTACAAACTTTTACAAAAAAAACCTCAAAACTGAAAATCTAGTTTTCCAGTCACTGCTGTCCCTGAAGTGCCACTCAGTGTCCGCCTGCGAGGCACAGGTGGAGCAGCCATGTCCACTGGCTCGGCTGCAAGTGATGCTGAGGACTATGAGACATGTCACAGAGGGACCGCTGCCCCTTTGGAGAGGAGCGCACGGAAGATGACTTGCTACAATCCCAGCCGGTATTCGGATGAGGAGTTGGATGATGACAGCCTGGAGGGGAGGATCAAGCATGAGCGCAGACTCTCCAAGGCGCACCAGAAGGAAGCGCGCCAGTCGCAGAGAAACGCAGCCAACGCCAGGGAGAGGGCGAGAATGAGAGTGCTGAGCAAAGCTTTCTCCAGACTAAAAACCAGCCTGCCCTGGGTACCAGCGGACACCAAGCTGTCCAAATTGGACACGCTTCGACTCGCATCGAGCTACATCTCTCACCTGAGACAGCTCCTGCAGGATGACCGATTCGAGAATCGCTTTGCGCACCCAGTCAATCTGGTATGAATATTACAAAACAAACATGTTCAGATAAGAAAACAAGTTTTAAAGTGAAACATCTCAGTATTACCTTTTAACAAACAAATGGAAAACCACTTTATATACTTTTAAACTCTATAGATTGGACTTTTATAGTGATTTTATATTGTAATCTGACATAATCACTCTCATAATGTCTCTGCTATTACTGCAGTATCATTCTAAAAATGGGGAATCTCTTCATCAAGACTACTATAATTAATAGTGAGTCTGGGGAAAATGTGTTTCTTGACTGCTAAACCTGTTGTCCTCTACTTTAACAGACCTGGCCATTTATGATGACTGGGCGATCAGAGGATAGCCCAGACATTTCATCCACTGTCAGACTATGTGGAGCAACAGCATAGGACTCCCTTCTTCAAACACTTCTTCTGGAGCGTGCAGAGATATAAAATGTTGACTCCTCCTGTCCAGTGCCTACCTTTATGAGGACTGTCTGCATAACTGTGGCTCAATCTCTCCCTGTGTGTCCTATGCAATGACTTTGAACTCAACTCAGCCTTGGATTGTGTATTTCAGAGTATGTCAGTTAGAAAAATAAAGATAGTACTCCAAGTTTGTTTTCAGATATGTTTTCTTGTGTGCATGTTTGCTGTAATTAGTATTATGGCATGTTTACACTGTGTGTAAGATCATTTATATTGGATTTAACAAACTCCAGTCTCACTAATAGTTTTGTCATTTCATTGACTATTGGACAGTGTTACAAATATTACGGTTAATCACTAAAACGTATTGATGTACAATACAGTTTGGGGAGCTCTGTCTGTATACAGCAGCACTCTGTCAAGTATTCAGGTGCTTTTGACAGGTTAAAGAGTACATTTAAAAAAATCATCTCATACCAAATGTCTGTTTTTCTACTCTGACTTGGCTGTATAAGCACTCATCAAGCTAAAATGGGCAGCAGGATTCTTCTGTATTGTAAATATGCAGTATTTATTGTGTTTGTGGTGCTTGTCTTTAAATATTTTTTCATTTTTCGATAAACAATTACAAATTACAGTCGTCTCCTCTCCTTGTGTTGAATCAAAAATTGTAATCCCCTTATAGTGATTTAGCAGCATCGTATTGTGTGTTTATTTCATCTTTTGAAACTCAGGTTGTCATGTGACTTAAATTCATGGATCTTAATGGTTTAAAATGATATGTAGCACATGTAACTAGTGGCCCGCTCTTATAAGGTGTGAAGAGCAAGTAATGGAAAAGTGTGATATTTGTGTCATTTGTACCTGTAACCAAACTCCAAGTGTGCATAAAAAACATGGTAAGCATTATTAAACCTTGGTTTGGTTTGCTCAATCAACCAACACATAAAACAAATATTCACAAAACTATGAGCATATTGAACCACATATTTTTGTACAGACTTCTCAGACTTTTAGACATATTTTATTCATTTTCCCAACTGTATATTGCCATAAAGCTTGCTCAGTGGACAACACTTTACCCACCATACACACCATTAGGTATTCAGATCACAACTCAGCAGGACTCGAGAGATCTTGAGCCTTACCATCGGGTAGAATACAGCTGTTCATATTTCAGTCAAAACAAAAAAAACTTCACAAAGCAATGGTCAAAAGTTCACCCACACAGCCATACCAACACCCCTCAGCGCACACATGCACAGCGGAACTTGCACACATGCCCCTAAACATCCATACTTAGTCGACAGAGAGAGAACAGATGACAGTGATCTCTTGATCTACGAGTCCTTTTATATTCAGTTAAACCCCAAAAGGATGTGCGTACAGATGGATGGAGATCCTAGGGCCCGGCAGTCTGGTGGTACAGACTGACAAAGTGCTTGAGATGAAGAAAGAAATGAAGAGAAGAGAAAGAGGAAGAGTTTTCATCAGGTTCATGTGGAGTCGCAGCTGTTGGCATGTTGGTGAGTTTCCCAGAACTCTGAACTGCTCTCCTGGGAGAAAAGCAGCCACTCTTGCTGGACAGCTAATGAGCTGCCTTCTCACACTCAGTCTGCCCCGGCTCTCGCACCATCAACTTCAAATGTGACGCCAAAAAAAAGCAACTTGTAAATGTTCAACGTGCATCTTGACTGCACCGAAAATGAGGTGCCATTAATCAAAACATGGCATGTTAACAAAATGATGACGCTTGGGACTGGCTTGCCCACAGTGAGCTGATCTCAGATCTCTGGGAGTGAAGCTTTCGGGTCTCACGAATAAGACAAAACATATTTTGTGCCAATTTGTGGCAACACTGGCTGGAACAGCAAAGACACTGCAGATATAAATGTGTTACTGTGGCAAGATTAATTTAAACTCATGCATTTTGTAATGTTACATGAGTGGCATCTAGTGGTGGGGAATGTGAACAGAGAGCAGTAAATCCATGACACTCCTCACATTCAGCTCAGCTGAGCAGAACAAAATAAACTTGAAGAAGTCATGATCATATACAACACTTGATGTCACTTTGCAGAGTGGATATCAAGTACGACCCTTTAATGGAGAAAATAATGATGAAAAGTCACTTACTGAGTTACAGCTTCAGCCATATCTACACAGTATATTTACTGTATATCTGCACATCTGCATCATTGTTCATGACACTTAGCAGAATGTTTTGCCTGTAAATCCCAAAGTAACTGTCCTAAAATTATTGTTGTTACTTTTAATATATTTTTTTGAAAATGGATTGAAATTAAACTGTCTAGTTATCTTTATCTGATTGTTCTTTTATATTTCAAGATACTGACACTAACTGCTAGCAAAAATCTCAAAACAAATGAGCTACATTTGCAACAAGTGGAATAATCTTTCACTACTGGAATATTTGCTTGTTTTAAGAAAAAAAGGGCAGTTTAAATATAAGACAGCATGACTGGTAGTCTAAAGGTAGAGACATCAGAGGACATTTTGAAAAGCAAAGATGCATTTAATATTATAATTAGGTTGAATGATGACTCACTGTCACACTGTCATACTGGGGCACCTGAATAGAACACAGAGATCAGTGTTATTAGTAACACCTGTGCGTTTTCCTACTATGACCAGGGGTGGATCTAGAGAAACATTCATGGGGTAGCAAGAGGTTGACATGGAGACTTTAAGGGGTGTCAGAAATAATGCTGATTTAATCACAAGCAAATGCATTTATCAATATTTGCTTGGAAAAAAGCCAAATGAAGATATTTGAGGTCAAAATTTTATTGTGGCACATCAGTGAAGCATTGAACAAATACAGCTTAAAGCTGGCAGAAATCAATAAAGAGTTTCATTTCCAAATCTGCAGGCATTTTTCCAAATTCACGTCTTTTTTCACTGAATCTAAAATGTGCATATAGCATAGCAGATAATTCAATTATATTTTTTTATTTCAATTTTTATCATATTATTTTTAAAATAAATCTGAATAAATATGACAGCATTTGACACCCCAGGCCACCCCTCTAGATCCGCCACTGTCTATGAAAAGTCAAATTGTCAGCTGTGGAAAATCTGTTTTTAAATTGGGGAAAAAACTGAAAGTGTTTGTAGGTAAAATAAATTACAGACAAATGAACACACCTGCCTTATCCTAATGAAAAAAAGCTCATCTTATATACCTTAGGTTTAAAGATATTCATAGACACTACTGGAGAACACAGGGTTGCAGTTTGTACCCACTAATAAACAGTACAATATTGATTACCATGAGCCATGAACCTGTATGTCCAGCAGAGGTCAGCATATCTTCACAATGGTCAACATGGTTGCAACAAAATGTGACACCTACTGCTTTCCTTACATTGTGCAGTATATTGAGGATTTGAGAAGCTTCAGCATTAAATTCCCTTTTTTTTGATTTTTTTCCCTTCATACCTGATTACCAAACCAATACTTGTTCAATTACCTTTTATTTTAAATAAAACATGTGCATTTAACTGAGAATATACCAACAGTGCATTCACTCTTTTGTTCCTTTTGTGCTTTTCACACAGAAATATTTTCTCCTTTAATTACCATTATGCCAACTATTTTTTAAATCAACATTTTCAGATATTAATTTATTTCAGCACATTGCTTTGATATACAGTTGCATCGTCAGCCATCGAGTCTCAGCACAATCCAACCTTTTTTGTTTTGGTACGACTGAAACATTTTTCGTTTGTAGATGAATTTCCATGAACAGGAAGGAACTATAGGTCCAAAGCCAACATCAGGGGTTCAGTGAGGCTGCCTTTGTAGCTGCCCCAAAAGCACTAACTTTGGGCCTTACAGCCTGCAGGAATCCAGCCTGGACGCTTTGAGCTTTCCAAACCCACTTTCAGCATGTTTGTTATTTAATATCCAGTCACTCAATACCACTAATGAGAAAAGGGATATGTAAATCCCAAACTATTTCAATCACGTTTGCCTAATGTATACACTTCCCCAAGGGGAGATTAGTTCCTCTGCTGTGTCCAGACTTTGTTTAGAAAATACATTCTTTCCAGGTATGAAAATGTTGACCCTTGAACCTACAACTGTCCTCCTAAAACAGATATTTAAGCTAACTACTTGGGCTATTGCTTTTCTAAAAAAAATGCTGTAATTATGATCACTGCAGTGAGGTTGTGGTGCAACATGGATGTGGATGTTGTTTTTTGATAACCAGCTCTATCCACACTCATTTTGTGAACTCAGTAGTTTCTAAATAGAACATCTCTGAGAACGTGCCAATGAACCGAGGAACCAGACATTTAAGGATACTTGCAACAGATCCAGAGCGGGACTTGGACTGAAGGAAGTGGTGGTTTGTCTGGCTGAAGGTCACTGAATGTTACAGAGAAATCTCTGTGCTTGTAAGTGCAACTGTGTAAGCATATATACACTTGTCTTTTCCATTTCAAGCACATACATACTTCTATAAATGTTATGATACTGAAACACAAATATTTGACCATTCATTACTACTCAAGATTTAAATCTTATAATTATTCTTTCATCAAAAAAAAGGTTTATCCTTTCTTAAAAGGCTGCCACAGATTTGTTGTGCTTTAGTATTTCATCAGTACGATGTGTGTGTTGTCAACACTAAATAAATTACAATGTCCCTGATCATCTAATGACGGACTATGTCACTCACATGCAGCAACATGGGTAATGAATGTGATTTAAATAGACAACAATGGAGGCCTATGGCACAGAGGAACAATCACACTTTGGCCACACAGACAATACTTCTGGATTTTCTGACAATAAGAAAAATATAGAATATCACAGGCATATGTCCAAAGAGCACAATTATGTCTATGTAATCCCCCAAGTAAAATATAAAAAAAATAATTACAAAATGAAATGTCATGCTGTTTTGTTCAGGATATTGTTCATTTTCTGTTGAGAGCGTCCATGCGTGTACTGCATGCTTATGCCCTCTGGTGAGTACGTGTGACTGAGAGAGAGACGGAGGCAGAGAGACGGAGATCTGTCTTGTGCGCGAGACTTCCTGTTACTCTGTGCAGATGACACACTCTTCTGTTAGATAGGTGATTGGGTTACAGTGCGGGACTGGCAGCCTCCTCTCAGGAGAGAATGGAGGCTCTTTGTGGCAGGATGAGCTGGACACTGAAAGGGAAGGTCGAGCCAAACACAGAAAAAAAAAACAGGAGAAGAAGACGGGAGGGAAGATGCATAAATTGGTGAGGAAGGGGTAAGGAGCTGTGCAAGGGACGGTTTGACAAAACAATATCCACACAAGCCCTGCGGCCCTCTCTCAGCGCCATCCTCCACTGTCTCCCTAACTGCGCAATAGGACAGGGGGTGAATATCAGCTCTGCGCTGCTGTTTGTTGGCTGAGGCAGTACTAAGCTGCTTGGGTGTTGTGTCCTGGTTCCAGCACTGCTACCAATGGGAGCCCAGAAGAAACAGATATTTGTGTTTGCTCTCAGGGCATGTGGAGCTATTCCAGCCCTGTTTACAAGGACTGGGTGGTGCCCCCTGGCCTATTATCTTGTCCTCG